GTATCGTGTTTTCCCTTCTTTGCCTGATTATTTCAATTTAGTGCTAAATCTGATCTTCTGCCTTTTCTCAAAACACTTTCCTTCCATTTTCTGTTCATGGATTAACTGCATTTGATCATGCTGCGGTCGCCCGTGGATTTTCTATCGTTCCGAATACACAAAGAAATTAAAACCAGCAACATCAGAACGATGTGAGTCTCACAATTTATATAATCAGACAAAAAGAAAAAAAAAAAATTATTATTCTTGAATGAAGATACACAATTTTAATGAACTTGTCCACTATTCCCTTTATTGTTTGCAGATTTGACTCTATAAACTTGTTTAATTCTGTAGTTACTTTTGCGTTATGAATTCTGTATTGGTCACTTATACGTAAGTGTAATGGTTAGCAAACTTGTCTCACTAGATTCATTAGGATTCAGTCATGCGTTTGAGTCTCATCGGGTGCTCTCTACTTGTTGCCTTTTGCCGCTTTTAAGCTATACTTAATAAATCACTATTAGAACCAAAATTGCGTTTTATTACAAGTTCATTTGATGGCGATAATGCCACTAAGATGCAAAGGGTTACTGGAAGTGAAAGTGCAGAAGAAGACTAGAGGAGAATGAATCGGAACTACAATACTAATTACGAAACAATGGCTAAGCCTCTACTCGTTTTTAAAAGACAAGGAAGGAGTGTGAACCGGGAAGTAGGAGAGTTACTTCTATTGAGAAGAAAAAAAAGGCAAAAATGGATAAACATTCCCGCAAAAAGATAGCATGTTAAAAAGAAGATTTTCCACATGAAACCGAGTTTTTTTTTAACTACCTTCACTCTTTGGTAATATTTATCGTTTTGAAAAGCCCTTAATTACATTTGGAATAAGACCTAAACACATGATGCAAGTAAATTCATATATTTCTTTTTGATTTTAAAAAATTACACCAAAAATACTAAAACTATTTATTAGATTGTTTATTTATAAGAATAATTTTATATTTCCAACATTCTAAAAATACAATTAGAACTAATGCAAATCAATATTGATCATTTACCAATTTATAAGCCATAAATGTGAATACATTTTTTCTTCGTAAATTTATAAACATTAAGTAAATTATTATATGTTTTCCAGTAAATAATATAACTAAATGTAAATAAACAATCTAATAAATAAATAGTGTTTTTTATTTGCATTGCCAATTGTCAAGAACAAAGTAAATGTATCAATTCACTTTCATATTTTTAGGTTAAAGGGAAGTTAAAAAAGCGATGTCATGGGAAAAACAGTCCTTTTAACACACTGTCGTATTTCGGTGCGGTCATGTTTATCCATGTCTGCCGAAAAATAAAGAAAAAGAGAAAATAAGTAAGAGATTAAAAATAATAAATAGTAAAGAAAATTTTGGAGTTTAGACGGAGACTTTAAAAGCGTTGAGTAACATGTGATTGAAGTGCATGTAGTCTGGTAGGGGCAGTTAATTATGTGACCGTTTTTCCTTAATTTTAACTATTTATTTAGATTTTAAGTTGATTTACGTTGTATTGTCTCCTATAAATGAGAAAAAAACCCAAAACAAAGCACCTTTTGGTAGGCTGGCGCCTATAAAAAAGTAGAATTATCTTTCAGCTTACATTCAGGTTATGTAAGTCTCGAAGTGCGTCAAACAATAAGAGGGAAAAGTGTGAATTTGTTTCTTCATATTAGGAAATCAAAAATCAAATTTAGAAATTGTATCTTTAATACACATATATTAATCTAGGATATGAATGGAGAATTTTTTTTAATCATTTCACTCTAAGCAAGGCAATAAATCAACTAAGATATAAAGGGTTACTGAGTGTGAGAGAATATGAGAAAAATAAATCTCTATTAAGGAGAGAAAAAATTATAGGAATTAAGAAGGCAGAACATAAAAATTGACATTGTATTTAAATTTTTGAAGATCAAAATTGACTCGGAAGCAAGTTGGAAGAGAGATATTTAGATTTTAAGATAGATTAAGTTTCACTGTTTCCTAAAAATAAAAAAAAAAGAAAACAAAGCAAATAATTTTATAGAAATATCTATGAACTATAGGACAAGAAAATTCAAATAAACATTTTTTTTCTGGACGCCATATATTTTCTTCACAAATCATTGGCTTGCTGATTTCATTTTCAGTGCTTTTTTATATAATTGATTCTAATGCTTATTTGAGGAAAATCAGTTTGAAAGATTTCATGAATACAAGATTCCTCGACAATTTTCCTTTTTCTTTTTTAAATAATTTCACCCCAAGCTAGGCGATGCCATTAAGACATGAGAGATTACTGCGAATGAAAGCACTTGACAACTACCAACTGCAGGAACAACTAGAATGGATATTACATGTAATTTGAAGAGAAAATAATTACATAATCAAAGTGTTTACATTCCACACTACTTCAAATAAAAGTTTAGGAAGGAAACCCCCATCAATAATGGAAAGAGTGTTAATAGCTATCGGACTTGAGAAATCTGTTTTCCTGAAAAATTGTTTTAAGAGAATGACTTTATAACTTTCAACCAAAAACATTGCTAGCTGTTCGGTCAATAAATGCCTAATATTTCCTCATAGGGAAACGGTTAATATTAACATTTCCATTAGGAAAAGAAACTTGAAACCAAAGGAAACAAAAGATGGGTAAGTAGTATAAAGTGGGAGAAAGCCGAACTTAACTACATCTATTTAAAAATAAAAATAAGAGATTAAATAAATATTAGTAAATCAAATTTCAGAGTTTAGGTAGGGACGTTAGACGACGTGTTCAGTTACACTGAGAGAAAATGTGATTTAAGTGCATGTATTTTGGTAGAGGCAGTTAATTATGTAACTGTCGTTCTTTTATTAATTTTAGCTACCTACTTAGATTTTAAGATAGTTTAATTTGCATTTTCTCCTGAAAATGGAAAAAGCGAGGAAAAGCTAAACTAGCAATCAAACAATTTGTTTTATTTTTACTTCATTAAAATGATGTTATTATCCTTGATTTTAATGTTTTCGATTTGTTAGGGACAACAAGTAAAACGATTTTTTAATATTTAAAACTGACTTTAAAAAAAATCCTTTTACTCCAAGCAAGACGTTAATGTGGCGATAACGCGGGGGGTGGGGAGTTACAGAGAGCAAAAGGGAAAGGGAATTCTAGAATATAGGAAGGATTGAGGAAAGAACAAAAAAGGGACAGGACTCAAGAAGAAAGAAAATGGCGATTGACATTACATTTAAATTTTTAAAGGTTGTCGTTATTAGGGAAGCAAGAAATCGGAAGGAAGTTTCACATGTAGGAAATTCGAGAAAAAAATAAATAGCAATTGTGGGAAAAATAGTTTTGCGTAGTTAAAAACTTGCTCTGTCAAGCGAATTCTTTTGATCCCTTGTTCCTTGGATCTCTTGTAGAAATAAATTATTATAAGTAAATTACGTAGAAATAATCAGTTATAAATACACAAACACAAACAAATAAATAAATATATATATATAATCGATGGATAAATTGTCGTTTAAATTACGCAAAAATGAAAATAATACTGACATCGCATTTTAAGAAATATATTTACCAAAATTACACAAAACTATCTTGAAAGACTAAAGAGTAAATTTATTCAATAAAATCGCCATTGGCTTCAAACATGGCCCCCAGACGATTTCAGAATCTCCTGAATCTCTTCTGAGCGGTCTCCTTGTTTAAGTTAGTGAATGTTGAATAATTCATATTTGGTGTTACAAGGAGTTTCGCTAGTCTCTTGCTCAACTGCGCCCCACACATAATAATCAAGGGGGTTGCAGTCTGGGGAGTTAGGTGGTCAGATGTAAGGTGTGATGTGAGAAGGAAGGAACATGGTTCAAGAAGACAAAAGATGGCGACTGACGTTGCATTTCAATTATTTAAGATTGTAGCTATCAGGGAAGAAATAAATCGGTGTGCGTGTGAGGGGGTCATAGGTGGAAAGGGGAAGGTAAGAAACTGTTATGAGTGGAAGTAGCGGTTGCATCTAGTTAGTTCAATAGTAAAACAGTTGGACTTAGTTGCCAATCTAGTAAAACCCTTAAATCCGTGTAGTCGCAGCACCAGGAGAAAGGCTCATGAGAATAGTTACCATGGAGATATTTGTAGAAAAGAGAGAGGGAGACAACGTCAGATCGGTGGGAAAATGTCTGAAGTCGAGATGCCCGGTGAGGTCCTATAACATTGCAAGCCTTTCTTTGGATTTTGTCAAGAATATTGGTAATATGTTGGTATATTTTCTGCATGACACCTAAAGACGCGGCCATTCTCATTACTGTCCATTGATATACTCAAATTAGGAGTTTGCATCAATTCAATCCGAAAACACGCACTCACTGAACCTTCGACCCTAACATACACACACGCGCATGCGCAGAAAATTAACACACGCACAAAGAACCATGATAAATGATCTTATCACGAGGAACGCGGATAGTTATAAAAAAAAATTGCATTGTATCCGAAATGATTGGGAAACGGATGGCCATACAACTCTGTCTTGTTGAAAGAGCGAAAGATTATAATGAAACGGTAGGGTAGACAATGAGACGTCCGAACAGAAGACGTAATTAAGCGGCTAGTGAGGAATTTACGTCCAATCCTATTGACACAATGAAGTAGACTGTCTTGTCTATCTCCTCTGTTGCATCATTTATTCGCTTGACATTGGTCATTACGCTGGCTACGTGTCTTTAGTGGCGTAGAGCCTACACAGCCTTTCACTCGTCTATGTGATGTAAATTGACTCTGCATGATTTGGCTTCAACCTTGTTGGTTTGGTATTCGAAGGGTAAGAGTATAGAAATGAGGTAATTTTGTTAGTGTCGCGTTTGGAGGTTGGGTAGTGATCTCAAGAATTGGGTTTGTGCGTCTGAACTGATGAGGAGATTCGAAAATAGGAGCAATCATAATTTGGTAGTGGCGAACAGAAATTGTTACACATATACTTAACTAGACAGACACGGAGATAGATACGAATAGAATTAATTACAAGCGATCTTAGATAGATATCGACGGTGGTAATTACTAAAAGACTGGCATAGATAGATAGATAGATAGATAGATAGATAGATAGATAGATAGATAGATAGATCGTGCAGAGATAACAAAAAATAAACATCAATATAGAAAGAGGTAGTGACAAATAGAATGAACGATGGAAGATAGATAATGACCAAACAGAGATAGATAGATAGATAGATAGATAGATAGATAGATAGATAGATAGATATCAACTAAAATAGATAGATCGTGCAGAGATAATTAAAAATAAACATCAATATAGAAAGAGGTAGTTACAAATAGAATGAACGATGAAAGATAGATAATGACCAAACAGAGATAGATAGACAGACATATAGATAGATAGATAGATAGACAGACAGACAGAGAGAGAGAAAGAAAGAAAAAAGAAAGAAAGAAAAAAGAAAGAAAGAAAGAAAAAAAAAGAAAAAAGAAAAAAAAAAAAGAAAGAAAGAAACTATAATAGATAAGAATAAACTTTGAAAGTTACAAATGTCTTAGATATATAAATACAAATAAATTTAATTCAAATTATACTGAGATAGATAGATAGATAGATAGATAGATAGATAGATAGATAGACAGAGAGAAAGAAAGAAAAAGAAAAAAAAGAAAGAAAAGAAAAAAAGAAAGAAAAGAAAGAAAAAAAGAAAGAAAGAAACTATAATAGATAAGAATAAACTTTGGTAGTTACAAATGTCTTAGATATATAAATACAAATAAATTTAATTCAAATTATAAAGATAGATAGATAGATAGATAATTCATAATTAGAAAAGAAAGAAAGAAAGAAAGAAAGAAAGAAAGAAAGAAAAAAAGAAAGAAAGAAACTATAATAGATAAGAATAAACTTTGGTAGTTACAAATGTCTTAGATATATAAATACAAATAAATTTAATTCAAATTATACTGAGATAGATAGATAGATAGATAGATAGATAGATAGATAGATAGATAGATAGATAGACAGAGAGAAAGAAAGAAAAAAAAGAAAAAAAAAGAAAGAAAAAAAGAAAGAAAGAAACTATAATAGATAAGAATAAACTTTGGTAGTTACAAATGTCTTAGATATATAAATACAAATAAATTTAATTCAAATTATACTGAGATAGACAGATAGATACAAATTTGCTTATATGAAAATATCCTTCGCAAAGTTATGAATCCATTTCTTCTCAACCCCACCAAGAAGGACAGAGTTCGTTCTGTATCCTTGGGTAGCAACCGGTCTAGAAGACGAACAACGTTGAATTAAAAAAGTGATTAGGTCGTTTGGGTAACTTGTGACACAATGTGTGTTCCAGTTTTCTGTATTCGGCGCTTCCATAACATGTGATTGATTCTGCAGAATCCTCTACCACTATAAGTAAATAATATGTACAGCTAGTTTGGCTGTTCTGTTCTAACAACTGGGTTGATATTTGACAAAGTGTAAAATTTTTTCCTGTGACGCGTTTGGTCCTTTTCCGGTCTGAGTAATTTTCTTTATGTTGGTGCGAGTACACGTGCGTACAAACGAGAGATGCTGGGAATTTTAAAATTATTCTTTTTAATGCATTTTACACATCAGTCAGTTATGATCCATGCTCGATACACGCTTAGGCGATCATGTATCTTTCGATACACGAGGCAGGTTTTTTTTTCCCGCAGTAGGTTGCCATCTATTTCTGCGGTAGACCAGTTGCCATGAAAGACTATAGAACCCGGTTTGTCCTGCTATTTACCCATAGCTGGGGGTGGGAAGAAAAGAGAATTCATACCTTTGCCAAGGTTATTAACACTAAATAAATGTAATGGATTCGACTGGATTTCGAACTCGGCTCTTAGATTCCTCAATCCGAACCGCTATCCATTACTTCGGAAAAAAAAACTGCCTCGTCAGTCATGTATCGAAAGTGTATCACGCATGGCACATAACTGACTGATTTTACACATATAGTAACAAAAAGAACAAGGTTCTAAATGAAACTGTCTAGATTATATACACAAAATACATTAAAAAATTAAATTAAAATTTCCCATCGCCTCCCATACGTGGGCATCTGTAGTCGCACCAACTCAAGCAAAATTAGTCAGATGAATCGTAAGGAACTAAACGCGTCACACAAACGCTTTCCTCTTTGTCATGCATCTTTCACTCCAAATACACACACACACACACACACACACACACACACACACACACACACGCACACACACACACACACACACATATATATATATATATATATATATATATATATATATATGTATGTATGTATGTATATACATATATATATATAAGTCAAAGATTTATGGCCATCTTCTGGATTTGATAATTAATAAGACACTGAAAATATTTAATTAATAACTGTATGGTGTCCCCATTTAAGAGAGGGCGTTACCTAAAAAAATCAAAATCCAACCAACCGTAAGAGTACCATTAGACAGAAAATTATTCGGCAACTTGTCCTAAAGATTTAAGGAACCTTCATCCATTAATAGGTCAATTATTTTACAATAATAATAATAACAATTTTATGGGATTTTACAATACACACCGACTGAATAATCGAAGCTAATCACCCTGATATTGTAATTAGAGACCGCAAGGATAACATGTGCTTCTTTATTGATATAGTCGTCCCTGAAAACTGCAATGGATATTTGAACATCTTCAAAAAACACGTTAGGACATTAACAATTCCAGTTGTAGTTGGAGACCTCGGATTGATTGGAAAAGATTCCAATAGACTCATTAAAGGAATCCCTGGTAGCCCATGCCTTAAAGAAATACAAAAACATTTTAATCATAAGTACAGCCCACACCTTACGAATGGCATTATCTCTGTAATATATGTGCTATTTTTTTTTAAAAAAAAGTTCACTGGTGTATGTGTGTGTGCATGAGTTAAATCCAGACTTCATCAAAATAATGTATACACACTTCAGGAAAAGAAAACACATGTCTTTAATATTTTTATCAAATTGCGATAACAATGTTTGCTGTAGTATTAATCTCGACAAATGGCATTACACTCATGGCTGTAGCATCAATAAGTCCTAGAGTTATGTATTGCAGAAACCCCACTACACTAGCGGTCCTTACACAAGAAATTGAAATTGAATATGCAGCAATTCCACTGAACACTTTGGACAACGTTACCCAAGCATTTACTAGTAAATGATTGGAAGTTAAATGCCAATATTTTGAGCATGTCTTGTGATTGTAGAGTCCAAAGTTAACTTGTGTCTCGTGATATCTGAATAAATTTATTATTAGTCTTTAATTTCCTGAAGTGGGTATACATTTTTGGTGGGCTCTATATATTGATTAAATTCTATAAAATAATTTATTCAGTCTTAAGGTTATGAAATAACTAAGAAAATCTTCATAAATTTGAGTTAACATATCATTTTATTCAGCTTTTATTTTTTTGTAAGTAAAGTTAGGCAGAATTGTTTTGATATTTAAATCCTAATTTGCATTGCGTCCACTTGTTGTCACGTGTTCATTTTATAGCGTTATTGTACGTATGTGGCATTGTTTTTCTTTGTGTGTGTATGTGTGTGTGCTAAATTCTTGTTCGTCTCAATGCGTGTCAAAACCTTGGTGTATATGAGGATATTTTAAATGCATGTTACATATAATGAACATTGAAAGTAAATGTGTCATACAAGGTTATATTTGTTCTAGGTATAACGATAAACTACATCCAGCAGCAAGGCCCCTGATCAAGAGATTAGGGGTTTCAAGGAGCTTGAATTGCTGTTGTTCCTAGGTCCACAGTGACCCGGGGTGGTAGCACCTGTTAGGGCCCCAATTATGGGCAAATAGCGATCTCCAAAACAAAGACTATTTAAGTATAAAAAATCTGCGTTTGTAGTAGAATTATAGACAATACCATTTTATTGCAAAATAATATATTTTAAGTGTAAAATTTAAATTTATAAACGTTTAAAAGCCTGTTCCTTATTTAATCGTACACACACACGCGCACACAAACACACATAATAATCTGGTTAAAAACTTTCGAAACTGTTGCTATGGTCACGGAGCTAAAGTACGCAAAGTGAAGTCGCTTGGCATAGATTGACCTTGAACTCTGCATTCACAGTGAGTTTGTAACATTCACGCTACATCCCTTGTTTATAGCAGTGCGTGGAAGTGTGTAGAGTGTGGTCGTCTTACGACACCACACGATGTTCCATCAGTGATCATGTCTTGTGCAGCAGCTTTTGGCCAAGGAGAGCATTCCCGAGGTCCGACAGCCACCATATTCATCCGATCTCGCCCATTGGAAGTTCTTTTTCGTCTTCAAAAATTAAATCCCACTTTAAAGGAATAGATTTCAAGACGGCAATGAAATTGAAGAGAATGTAACGTGGCCGATTTGTGCTAAGCCATAAAAAAGAGTTCTAGATAGGTTTCCATGAATGGAAAGGGCGTTGCATAAAGTGTATGTCTTCAGAAGCGGATTGCTTCGAAGGAGATTAAATGTTGAATAGATATATTTTGTAGTTTTCTTTTGATAGAAACTATCATGAACAATCAACTTTTGAAAAGATATATATATATATATATATATATATATATATATATATATATATATATATATATATATATATATATATATAGTGGTTAGAACGTTCGCTTTCTGACCATGACAACCGGGTTCGAATCTCACCCCGGTTGATTTGTCAGAAGCAGACTAAATGATGTTATCGGTCTCGAGATGGTGCGAGTCCAGTGGTGTACGGGACCTTTGGAAAGTGCATGAAAACCATACCACAGGTTGATCCAAGCCTTGTGAGTGGAATTGGGTTGATGGAACACTTGCGGGGGAGGGGCTTGTCGATAGCCGTGCTAGAAGGAAGTCACACGTCATCATGACCGAGGGTTTGATATATATATATGAGAAATGTATAATTATAAGGTATGCTATATCCTATATTTATGGTTAAGAGTGTTTAGCTCAATATCAGTGATAGACCGCGTGTATATATGAGTGGACACTAAAGTAAAAAACGAGTGGCGAAGGTCTATTTAATGCTTGAATACAATCTTTAGTTTATATATATATATATATATATATATATATATATATATATATGCTGCAGAGAAATCAATTGTGATGGGATGCCCAAATGGCAAGAATTAGAGACAATCGTCTTACAAATACTTCTATTCTGGGAATTCTTCTCTGGGCGACGGACAAGAGGGCCCCCATTGAAGAGATAAAGTGACACCTTGAATAGTTCTCACATATCCTGTGGACTCAAGGAGCATCTTTTAGAAGAAAAGAAGCAGTCAATAAGGCGGCATGGATCAGGCAGTGACCCCAGCAAAAACAAGCGTAAACGATCAAACAAAAAACAAAAAGTAAAATAAAACAAACAAGCAGTATAAATGGCATCCAATGTATCGGCATTTGGGAGGTTTCAATTGGCATTCAGGAGCCCAAAAATATTATTTCACAAATTAAAAACAAAAATACCCAGAGATGTTCATCCAAAAGAAAATATATCCTCTGACTATAAATTTTAGGTGAAAATAAAAAAAAAAAAATCAGATTAATAAAGTCATTACTTGCAATTCCCAGTTCTGGCATTTCCATCTAAAAACTTCCCTATTCTATAGTTCATCCAATTAGAGGTACAGACTTCCTCTAAAACCAGTGAATGGAACTCTTTTTGAAAATTAATTTGCTTGCTCGGCCAAATGGAAACTTTTTCTTCAATAATAATTGTTGTGTCGGGGCACAATAGTAAAAATAAGAAATCAAGTCGAAGTTGGTTTAAAGAACAAGTGTATTTAACATCACAGATACAAAGGTAGGAAACGGGTACTACTCAGCTAGGCAGTTGTAGTACTGTCGCTGCTTACACCGGGTAGGTAGTACTGGCACTATATATAGTGAGAACCGGTGTAATTCCCTTGTGTTAGAGGCCGGTGCAACAACAACAACAAATAATAATAATAATAATAATAATAATAACGAAATTACAATTTTAGATTTGTTTGCATTATCTACCTTCTGGTATATGGAATTTTAGGGATGGCAGATTTTAAATTTTAGTTAGCGCTCTCTAGTGGCTTAAATAATTTCAGCATTCTCATTAGGGTTAATTAATCAAAAGAAATCATGTAACTAATTATTATAACCAGTAGTAGGCAGACTATATATACGACTTCAGATATCTATGGTAACGCCATATATACATTTATATATTATCGAGAGGCACTTCGATTTCTCGTAATGGTTAACAAGCTCGGGATCAATTACGGCCGATTAGAGGAGTCAGTCTTCACTGGGTCTCTCTCTCTAGGTTCAGCCTAGTGTCACATCTAAGCTACACTTTGTAAATCGCTATATTCCCGAAAATTTAGAAGATAGTCATTTCTACAAGCAAATTACGTAAGCGTGCATTCATCTAAGACCTTAAAAGAAAAGCAAGCGCAAATCATTTGTATTATTATGCACGATTGTATTTATAAAAACCTCAACGTTGTAACTAACTGAAGACAAATAACGCAATTTATCAGTTGGTAAAGATAATGTAGAGAGCAGAAGAAAACGTTCATCGATTTTCAGCTTAGGTACAGGCATTCGCAAATGGTATTTATCCTGAAGTCAATTATATGCTGTTTAGTTTCTTACTCGAACAAAAAAGAAAGAAAGAAAAAAAAAACAAATTTAAAATGGATAACATTACGTTCAATTGATGTTGTTAGTATTCAATTTAGGTAAATAATACTGAGCAGAAGAAAATAATCCATTGATTTATACTTGTCAAATGTTTGCTTTATTTTTTCTCTTAAACTTCAACAAAACTTAATTATTTGAATATTCAGATGCATTTTCATTACAATTTGCATTTTCACTTTCCTCCAATATCTGCCAGATTGTATCGATTCGTTATCTGCACAAACTTAACACACACACCTACACAAATCTGAGACACATTCATGAAACACACACACGCACACATACACAAACACATGTATGCATATATATATATATATATATATATATATATATATATATATATATAGAGAGAGAGAGAGAGAGAGAGAGAATATTATTAATGTGGCACCATTTACGAGGCAGAAAAGGAAAAGAAAGAAAAGAAGGCAGAAAGAAAGGCGAGACGAATCGTGGGTGATAAGCAGACACACACACGGCTAAGAGACAATGAATATATTGATAAGTAACAAATGGCGAAAGGGTGTCATTACAATGACAGGGAAATTCTGGGTAAAAAGAAAGGGAAAGAAAGAAAGAATCAGATGTGTTTTGAGAACGGCTGTGTTATTTAGGAGCACGTAAACAAACTGCTGGTCGACTGGCCAAAGAAAAATTCAAGTGGAAATGTTATTTCGATAAGTGACGAAAAACAGGGACTTTAGGTAGATATGGAAAAATTAATCGCGACACACACGAAGTAACCACACTGACCGATTTTCGTGCCGTAGAACATCTTTATGCCTGCGATAATAAAATTATGTTATCAAGAAATGTTCGCCAAAGAAAAGTCCAATTGAAAACGTTAATTTTGATAATTGACAAAACACAGGTGTAACTACAGGGCTTTGGGTAGATATGGAAAAATTAATCGCCACACACACGAAGTAACTACACTGACCGATTTTCTTGCCGCAGAACATCTTTGGCCTACGATAATAAAATTATGTTATCAGAAATATGTACCGAAGGAAAATGAATGGGGACCCAGAAGTGTTATTTCTTCTTGCATCGAGGCGACAGACTGACTGAAATTTTGGAGATGTTTCTTTTCTGAGGGCGTGTTAAGAAGACCCATTCTGATAATTAGCGATAAAATACCTGACAAAAACCACGTGTAGAACAAGAGTTATATTGTCCCGTTTGCGGCTAGGGAAATGATAACGGCGATTAAGAGGAAGAAAGGGAAAAGAGAAGAGATAATTTTTTTTTAGTTAAGCAAGATATTTTTTTTTCTTCCTGAAACAAAGCCGCGGATTAAGACATCATTGGTCAAGTGGTGATCACGTGACGCACGAAGGAGGCTGTCGCCGCCTATCCAGAGTGTAGGTATGAGAAGCTGCTACGAAGAAGTGGGGAGGGCAGTTCAAGCCCTCTGAAGTATGGTGAGAAGGTGGGAGTGAGGAAAGGTTCCCAAAAATGGAAAAGAGTGGAAAATCCCTAACCAGAAATAAAAGAGGTGAATATGTATTTAGAATTATCGAGGAACCCCCGACGCCGACAGAACCACCCCGGTTTTGGTCGGCGTCCATAAAAGCGAAGCCCCTACGAGCAGAAATCAGTTCGGGCTCCAGCGGAGAGTTGAGTTCCAGCAGTTCCAGTGAGTTCAGCTGACCAAGATTCACGCAAATTCCGGACTCCTCTTCAACCCAAGAACAATTATTTTGAAGAGCGACTTAGATCCAGACACACCGAAACACAAATTTCTTAGAGAGCAGACAACTTGAAGCGTTAAAACTTGCCTAACGGAAAACGACGTGTCACAATCCACAGAACGGGTCGGGAGATAGATGCAGTCCTATGTATCGAACAACTAGACATAAAGTTTGTTACCTTTTTCTTTGATACTTTGAACTTTTTGAGTTTTCATTTTATTTTCTTTTATGCATGTTTGTGTGTTATCACTCCCGTTGAACTCAGTTTGCATTACGGCCCCAACCACTGTTTGATCTCGTCTGTCTAAGATCAATTCACAACGTGGGTAGGCAGACTGGAGATCAATGCAGTTACCTTGGTAACCAGGCGTTGGAAGCGAGTTGGGAACGACGAGGCTGATATCAAATCTAACCAGATTCCCACCCGAATCACCAAAAGGTTAGAACGTCACATTTGGGTGCCGCGACCGATACCAAGCCAGTTGGTCGTCACAGGACGAGACAACACGACTGACGCGACAGGCGGACGTCACGTTTGGAACAGCGACACCCGAACGGAGCAACGAGGAGCGAACAGCTGGCGCCGCGGCGAGGACGTCACAATTGGTGCTGTTTGGGGACGTCACAACTGGTGCCGTGGTAGATCAGGATAGAACGTCACAGTTGGCGCTGCGACCAGGGGACGACGTCACATTAATAAATATACACATATATAAGTTTATATACATAGGTGCATACGCATACATGTATATTTTTTTGAATAAAAAATTCCAAGAGGATAGAATCCAGGTAGAACTCAATGTCCAGGACAGAGTAAGGATATAATGAAAAGGCTTAAACACTAATATTTAATGTAAATACGATCCAATTCATCAGACCTACAAATTCAAAAAGAAAAAACAACTCCGGAAATAAAAATAGAATTTAGAGAGAGTGTAAGTATGAGAATGTGGGACGAATGTTAGAGCTAAAGAGAGGGGTAACAGACGAGAGAAGGTGGGAGATTAAACCTTAACAGAGAGAAATTTAGGAGAGGAGTGGAAGGGGGGAAATATGAGTGTTGTCGGATGTCTAATACATTAAAGATACATTTCGTGGTGACATACACACACCATAGACGATCTAATGTTAAAGATCAGAATAAGAGGGAGGGAGAGGAAAGAAAAGAAGAAGGGGTGGGGGAGATAGATGGGGCGGGAGGAAATAAAATTGAAGGGCATTTACTGAAAGGGCCGCTGTGTAATTAAGAAAATTTGACAAAATTAATATCGATTACAGGTTACAAATCAAATATAAACATTAAATATAACGATTATCTAATCTAGCAAGGACCTATATTTTTATGTTCAAAACCCCTTGCGAATACACACATACACAATAACACATACACGTATATACATACACATAGGCGTGTACCCACATACACACATACATATACCCATGTACACACATATATCCACATATCTATACAAATACACACATACACATACATACAAACACACTTTTTGAATTTGTAGGTCTGATTAATTGAATCGTATTTACGATTCCAATGGAATAAATTATGACCATGGACTATTAGTGTTTAAGCCTTTTTATATATATATATATATATATATATATATATATATATATATATATATATATATATATATATATATATGTATATGTATACATGTATGTCAGATTATGTACAGGGTGACTGAAAAGTGAAACCTCATTTTAAAATACTTATAATTTATTTATTAACTATAATTTTTATAAGAAATGGATATGAGAGGAAAGGGTTTATTTAAAATTACATATGAACATCAGATTCTTGAGCCGCCCAGGAGCTGCGTCAACTGATTTCACCAGGAACTCTTGTGGTTCATTTATTATATATTCAACATCATCACTTGATAAAAACCGAGGGTGTTGAAACAAAATGGCTATTTTTGTAGTGATTTTATAACATATTTGTGTTATAATTATTTTTTAATAAATAATTATATCTGCTCTACTTTGTATTGAGCACTCTTTAAGAATAATATTTGTTGTTTATTGGAATTCATTCCATATACACGAATCATATACTTGTATATATATATATATATATATATATATATATATATATATATATATATATATATATATATATATATACTAGCAAGGCTAATCAGTGTTGTCCGGGATTTAAAATTTAAAAAATAAATCTATAACAAAAATATAACTTCACATTCATTTATTCAAGCACAAAAAATATATTTAAACATTTTTTCCATTACATTAGTAGACAATACTGTTTGTCTTACTTTGTGGGGCATAAAATAAACAAATTGGTTTCCCTTCTCCCACGGGAACAACCAATATACAACTTCCCCTGAGAGAAACTGGATTCTTCTAACTGTAGTCCAGTAACTGATAGACTATGGCCTTGTGTTTTGTTAATAAACATAGCAAAACTTATTCGTAGTGGAAACTGAAGTCTCCTCAACGTGAATGTAATATCCGACCCCTATAATAGAAGCGTGACCATGTGTTTAAAGACGCCTTCGCTTTTTTCATACTCAGTAAAAAGCGATCCCTAAATTACATGTGGAATGAACTTACCTACAAGTCTGATGTCATTAAAAAATCTTGATAACATTATAGGCACCCCCATCTTCAGTTACAGTCTATGTGAATTCCAAGAGGCTCTTGAGAATTCAGAAATTCCGTTGGATAATTTACTACCGGAGCTAGAATGGTATCCACTGAACTAAATATGTGAGATGTTTCCGGGAGAGACTGCAACAGTTGGTCATTTTTTCTGTCAACTTCTTTGTTCTTAGGAGCTAGTATTGCCCTTAAACAATTGTAGTTCTTGTAATTATTTTTGGCGAAACCTTGGCCTTAATCTCAATGAAGTAGACACGGTGATCTTTTTTTCAAATGTACTTCAAGTTGCACAATACACAGGTGTATTTTATGCAGTTGGAAGCCAAGCATGAGCCAAAATGCTTTATTTCTACTAATTTGATATCGGGCCACCTTATCTCGGCTATTTTTCTGCTGCAAGCCAAACATGGCCGCCTTCGATCCCTTGTTGACGTACTTTCAAAGATACTTGATGGATTTCACCGAGTTTCAGAACTCAACATTAAGGTGGGCATTAAATGTTTTTGATAGCAAGGAACAACAGGGCAGTTGTCAACCGCATTTTTCTTCAGACATGGCGAGTTGAGGTTAAAGCCCCTCTCACCAGGTCCACGTACAATGTTCCTTTTAATAAAAGAGCTACTTGTCTGTCGATGGACTTGTAAACTATGCCGACATTATACTGACATTTTCATTAGAGTGAATTATTTTTTGCCAGCCAAAGTAGAATGTGAGCATTTGGTAGTCTACGTTTTAGCCACTCA